TCTGCTTCAGAAATTAGTTTCTACCGGTTTCTCGTTGCGGGCTATTTGGCAAACCGTCAGCAATATGTGCTTTACAACCGGTATCAATCCCAACCGTATACGGTTACCTCTAGTGTGGGTCAGGGGTATTGCCTGGGACCACTCATGTTCTTGATTGTAGTTAATGATCTGCCTCTAACTGTCCGACACAGCGAGTGCCTCATGTTTGCTGATGACGTCAAATTGGCCATGACCATCAAGTCGGAGGCTGACTGTGTTCTCCTCCAGAAGGACATTGATAACGTCTTTGGCTGGGGCAATGACAACAGTCTACGCTTAAACGTTGACAAATGTACCATTGTATCGTTTACGCGCACTCGCAAACAAATAGTCAACACTTACAAAATAAAAGATACTCGTATCAGCCGGGCTACATTTGTCAAGGATTTGGGTACATGCTTCGATGGAACATATCTCAAAATTAAATAAATCTTCGTGTAAATGTCATGGCTTTGTCATGAGACAATCAAGATCGTTCAAAAGTGACCTCACAACTCGTTTTTTGTATAATAGTTTTGTTCGTAGCAAGCTATAAAATAACGCCATCATTTGGAATCCCATTCATTATAATCTCATATCGACGTTAGAGAAAATTCAGAAGTCATTTGTTCGTAGCCTTTATAGAAAGATTTACAGTTATTACCCCTTACTTTACCCTACTACTTCTATTTTGGGTATGGTCGGCTACATAACGCTGGAAGTAAGACGCAATCTAGCTCTTGTGACCTAAATATTTCGCTTGGTGCGTGGAATCTTGTACAATCCATTCATACTATCCGTGATAGGCTTTTGGGTGCCTAGGACCAGCCTGGTGCGGCCTCACAGAAGAAAGCTATTTGCTATACCTTCTACACGTTCTAAGGCAAATGATCTGGCTCCTTTGCCCCGCGCGCTTAAGTACTTCAATCGGATGCTTATCTTTGACTCTTCTTTGGACCTCTTTGCATGCTCGGAAGCCCTTTTACGGTTTTCACGGGACGATATCTCGACTCATTGACCATAGACAGTAGCATCATATAAGTATTGTGCATTCCGAATAATTAATACTATGTTAATGTTTTAAAATTTGCTTGTTAATAATGTACTTGCGATATGTCCAATTCCATGATTTGTTATTTTTATCTAATTTTTTATTTAATTTATTTTATGCAATATATCAAATTCAATGATTTGTATATTATTCATTCAATTTATTTTGTATCAATTTTTTATTAATATGATTACATTATTATTTCAATCTATGATATTAGCTTTTTCAAATCAAATCAAATCAAATCAAATCATTTATTGTGTACGCACATCTATAAGGTCTTATTTAACATTGTTGTGTCGGTACGTATTGCCAATTTTACGGCATACAATTTACATAATTAAATTAATTTAACAGTATACTACTACATTTTAATTACAAAATGTCAAATATTAATTTTAATTTAAATTCTTAATTATATTTACGTCATTATTTTGTGATGGTTAACTATTATTCTATGTTCTTGTCATTTAAGTAATCGCTGACTTTATAATATGCTTTCCCAGTCAATAAATTAAATAATTGCTTTTTAATAGCTTAAGAATTACTATTGTGTTTGAATATTAATCTGTAAACAATATGTAATATAATAAATAAATAAATAAAGTACCTATCCAGGATATAACATTTTAGGTGCTTTTAAATTTAGTTTTTTTAAATAAACCTTCAGTGTTATTCCAGTTAGTGAATTAATGAAAAATATAATATTATTTTGATATAAATTCCCAATGAATATGTGTAATTATTAGGAATGTATTAATAGAATTATAGATAACAGATTCGAGTTAGAATTTTCGAGAAAGTGATGGGTAATCCTGCCACTTCACGCACCCATTTGCGGTGCAGATAGCACCTTGCTGAATGTAGTAGTAGGTAAATAGCTTTCGAGTGTTATATGGCTTAAAATAAAACTAATTGAGTTTTTAAAAACATTTCGAACAACCCTAATTGTTTTAAAATTACAAAAATGGCGCTTACATTGTAATGTTTCTTTTGGAATTAATTTACGGTATACAGACATTTGACATATTCTTGTATGATACTTCTTGTATGTATAGTCTTATATATCACTGGGTAAAATAGACGATTGATATAATAATAACTTTCAATATAATATATCGATGGCATAATGTTAATTTTATATAAACACTTCAGATATATCATTAACTGAGTATAATTATTATTGTATTATTGTATTATTAACATAATTCCAGTGGTGTTTAGGTGCAATGGAGAATGAACCGAATTTATTTGCATTTGCTAGTTAGCTCGATCTCCTGTGGGTTTAGGTTAGGTTAGTATATGACAAAGCTGTACGAGCCGAGCGAGCACAGCGAGCGTGTCGCGACTGTGGCCGGAGAGTGCCGGAACCGAATTTGTTTGCATTTGCTAGTTGGTTCGACCTCTTCCTGTAGGTTTAGGTTAGGTTAGTATATGACAAAGCTGTACGAGCCGAGTGAGCACGGCAAGCTTGCCGCAGCAGTGGCCGGAGAGTGCCAGTATCGAAATTGTTTGCATTTGCTAGCTGGTTCGACATCCTCCTTTGGGTTTAGGTTAGGTTAGTGTAATTAAATATTGTGCGTAAAGTTTTAATAAATATATTTTGTAACACAAAAAGCACTTAAACCTTTACAACAATTATATTTTGGGATTGTCATTAATGAAATAAAAAAATTCTTATCAACATAATATATGGCGCTTCAACTATTCGTAAAACGACATATTGTGTTATATTATTTCTAACATATTTGCTCGTAAAGTGGCTGAAATTACAGCTATTTCAATATCGTAATGTATTTCATTACGCACTTGTGCGTTATTGTAATGTAAAACGCACAAGTGCGTTATTGTAATGTAA